TTTTTGTATTTCTTTAACGATGTACATTTATATTAGTGTTCCCTAGGTGGATTATTTGTTTTTATTTATATTTCTTCATTTTTTGCTCTGTGTTAATATTGTTTCTATTTTGGGTTTGCCTGTACTTGGCAGTTATATTTAATACTGTACATGTATAAGTTTAGTTAATCTGTTTGTGTGTTATTTTTCATTATTATTTTATGTATTATCAGTGTTTGCCTGTTATTGGCTTCTTGCTGTTGGCAAACACGTAAATAAATTAATTGAATTGAATTGAATAATACAAATATTAAATGCCTGTTCGAAGTAGACGCTGTTAACAAAACATTGACAGAGTGAAAAAATAATCTAAAACTTGTACTTTTTTGAGTCATCTGCCGAAAACATTTAATTCGTTTATGGACATCGAAAATGCATAATTTGATAATTCGATTTTATCCTGTGACTGTTAAATCCAGTGCACACGTATATATATGCTTTACTTGAGATCAAATTTAAAGTTGTACTGTCATTTACTCCTACGTCTTCCAAGTGGTTTCTTCAACTGAATTTTTCCGACCAAAATGTTATATTCACCCCTAATGCGTGGTATATGTCCGCCCATACAACCCTATTTGATTTAATCATCTCGAAAATATTAAGTATTAAAAATAACTCTTCGTTGTGCAAATTTATCTGATTACGTGACTCCGTGTCCTAGTTTATAGTTTAAACGTCTCTAAACAACCAGTAGAATCTCGTCCGATCACTGTTTATGATACTGAAGCTGTTTTATTTTTATAACGAATATAAAATAAATATTTGCCTTTTATAAACGCAAATAACTTTATTTCAGTCGTTCTTATTAGGAAATGTATGATTTCGGTAGAATTTGTCGTTAGACATTTGTAAATATTGTAGGTGTCGTCAAATTCTTCTCGGTTCGTGGCCTGGGTGTTTGGCGCCTGTCTCAGAGCTATGATGACGTCACGGAAGACTGCGCACGTCGTTGCGCTGATTTGGGAACATTTCGAAAATTTTTGGTAAAACTCTGTAATGCTAGTCTTAAAGTTAATTCGATCAGCCGTTGTCGAGTTGTTGCATGCAGACCAACGGAAAGAGAGCAAGGCGGATATAATGGGAACATTTTTGAAACTTTTAGTGACAAAGGTGTCTAAAACTGTTCATAAAATATAAATGTTCACTTTGACCTTTGGCTGGCCGGTTTTCTTGAAAACTCCCTACATTGTTTCTACAAACCTGAGCTCCTACACGCCCAGCGCGCAGCCTTGGCAGGTCTGTGAAAGATGAAGCCACGTTACCCCAATAAGGGTCGTCTGACAGATTGGCTGAGAAGTTGAAGTTGGCCAGTTGATTCTTGACAAGGGACCTGAGATTGTATGGTAGATCATTGTGGCTGTAAAAGGAAATTATGAACTCTAAGATTAATCCTATCCATGCTACGAACGAGATATGCCACTTAATGCCACCAGTCACACACCTGATTCAGGTTCTATTTGCCAAAAATAAATTATATTGAAATCTGAAAAAAGCAATGTTGTGTAAAGTGTTGGAAATGTCTGCCTTAGTTCTTATCTGATGCAATTTGGTGAAGAGTTCCTTTGTCACGTGAACGGTTCACCAGACGAGATACTGTCGATCTGTTTGGCACTGGAGAATCGGATAATGTATATATATGTATGTACTGCTTTCTTTTTGTTTCATTGTCAACATACGAATTTTATAAGTTTTCAGAGCAGATAATCGAAAACAAATTTTGAATAAAATTAATAAATGATCACGTATGATACTGTAACGTAATCGGTAATTACACAGTGGATATATGTTTTAAAAAAAGTTGAATTTGTTTTACAGTACTACAATTGATTATTTTCTGGATTAAATTCTGTAGTTTTACAAATCACAATCTTGATTATCAGGATATAAACGTTCTCTTCTATGCCGTAACACTGGTCTTCCGGTCTCCTGACGAAGGTAACCGAGATGAACGTTTTGTAGCCTATTTAACATCGATCCGCACTGGACCTGCTTGTATCTTTACATCCGAAATGAAACAATGAACACTTAATCTATTTCTATGGGGACAGGCTGTGGTATAGTTAACAACGCTATAGTGTAACACCTTTTATTGCGACGTTTGTGTTACTCTATAATCGATATATCGAACTGTGGGGTGGGCAGAAACGATCTATCAGATACTGGACTGAATACCGACGGATACCAAAATATCTGATGTTATGAGGCGATAAATTTTATCAGTAATAACTTACATACAAATATATCTCTAGAATTTATTCTCGGCTGAATCCATTATGAAACAATTCCTACACCTTATTCATAATTTAAGCTTCGTATTTAAACATGTGTTATGCTTTAGTACTAACTCAACCAGCCCCAAACAGTAAAACCAAGGAAAACGAGAGGAAAGAAGCAAAGGAAGAACGAAGGATAGAAGGAGAAGAAAGAGATAAAGAAAAATCAAGATAAATAAGGTTGAAGTGAGAAGGATATACAGTAGATTGAGGTTAATTGAGCCATCGTTTAATCGGAGAAGCCGTTTATTTGGGACAAATGTAAAAGAATTTTTTTTTAAACTCTTTATGTGGAACTTCGCATAATTGGGCCAAAGTGTTCTAGTACCGATGTGTCCCAGTTAACCGGAATCCACTTTATATAAAGACATAAGAGGAAAGAATAGGAAAAAATATATTGAAAGAGAAAACAAAGCACAAATAAAGGACGAAAGAGAAGAAAAAGGTAGAAACGAGTTCTCATATCTATATATAGGCCAAAAAGTTTAGAGCGGACTCACCCGTCTATGAGGGGCACCGAATACAGAACATCAGACCCACGGGCGGGTCTTCTGATGAACAGGCCTGCCACCAACGTAGCGCCCAATAGGCAAGTCAATACAGGAGCTGCGGTTATAAGAAGAGAATAAACAAGTCATAGCTGAAGATTGTTATCTTCTGGGTTATTGCGCCGTGTAGTCTGGTAGATGTCCACCAACTTTCAGAGGTCGTGCTCCGTCATCAGGACGATTCATCGCCCTGATGACGAAGCATGACGTTATTTAGGTTATAAATATATAATATGCAATAAATAAATATAGTTTTATATCTCTGTACTGCACTCAACATATTAACAGTGCATTTATTTCAAAACTAATTGGCAAACTGTTGGTAAAGACACTAACGTGAACAACAAAATGTATTTTATGTGAAACTGTGCACAAACAACGAACGCAACATCTGATGTGACGGATCGCATAGCGAGTGATTGATTTGTTTCAGAACACAGATTGTGTCAAAAGCGATTCCATTTATAGTTTATAGTTCATCAGACGTTTACTTGTAGAAATTTACTTTGGGGTAGGTTGGATATGATTAACGAGTTGACTGAATGACTAACAATTTGACTTTAGTGACCGCAGATAATGAGTAATGACAACAGATGTAGCTAAAATTTGATCCCACTAAAACGAGAGTGGGAAGGTGTAGGATTGTCCAAATGGAGTACACATATGTATTCGAAACGCATACTTGGTGTACCTGGTGTTAAAAACCTGATAACTGGCTCCATGCACATCACACATATTGGAATCCGAAGTTGTACCCCTTGCATTTTTTAAATCTTACAAATAAAAGTTGTTTGTCTCAGATATATATGTAATTTGTCGGGTACCAACTGTTTATACGGTGGGCCATTACCTTAGAAAATATATAAATCGGAATTTCAGTAGGGTTTATTGGGTTTTTGGACATTGTCCATTGTCAAAGGTAAAAATTCACGCGACGTTTCGAAAAGAGGATCCGTTTTCGTTTCAGGTGTATGGGGCAGGGGCACCTACTCTGTTGGGTCCGATAGAAAGAGCTAGTCTCAATCACTGGACAAACCGGGTCAGAACCGTAACACAAGTTTAAACACCTGAGGTCAGGTTCTGTCGACGATAGACAATAAAAGTATACAATAAAAGATTATAGAAATCGTGTGAAAGTCAAAGACTAAAACTGAAGTGGAGGAGGAAATAAAATACATTAAACCAAATCTCAAAACCCAATCCTCAAACTCCAATGAAGACGAAATTCGAACCCCTTTTTCTGACGCACAACATCCGATCACTGCGACCCAAGAATTAAACTCCGAGGCGCAAAGCAACGACAGAGTACCAATCCTCCCTATGAGTTGGCAACCTCATCGCTGATAAGAGAGATCCATAGAGGAGAAACCCCCAAACTGGATTGGCTAATAGGATTGGTTAGACACGCTATATGGGCCGATTCCAAAAAAATCCTGTACCTGCTATTGCTTCCGATTTTCAAAATCCTGGTTTCATCCCAACCTATTCGATGGCCTTCCTCATAGGCGTGCTGGGACAGTTTAGAATTTTATAGAATACCGATTCTCAGATTATGCCTAAGTTCACGGATCCTCACGGCTAGCGGCCTGCTTGCTTCACCAGTGTAGCTTCTGCCACGATGTAAACACGATAGGCCGTCTGTTGTAGATTCCTTTCTGGTCCGGTTCTCATAAACTGCTAAGAGTGTAGGATTTGAAGTTTTCACGGCGGTGAGTCTGAAGATTGCTGTATTCTGGGTTGTTGCACCTTGTAGTCTGCTAGATGTCCACCAACCTTTCAGAGGTCCATGCTGCCTCAATCATCAGGACGTTGGTGGACATCTACTAGTCTACAAGGCGCATCAACCCAGAAGACAGCAATCTTCTGCTAAGAGTGTATTTTGTTTTGAAGATTGTCTTGATGTTGTACCTATTCCCTATTCGTCGGAACTTTCAGAAATGCCCTTCACAATGTCCAAAAAAATCCATTAAACCCGACTATATCACACCATCGTCAGAATCCCACAGAATCCAATCTGAATTTCAGTTTCAAAAGATTACGGGTTGTACTGAACCAGTACGAACAAAATTAAATTCTCCGGTGTAGACCCCAATATAAAATTATACCAAATTGTGTTGTATGACTCACCTTGGACCCTCATATCTGCCCCTGTGATCCTGCAGGTCGGAAATCAGTCACTGTGAACAGACATTGCGAGGTTTCAGGTTCTCACGGCGGCTGGTAAAAACATGGCTGTTTTCTGGGTTGCTGCGCCGTGTAATATAGTAGACGTATACCGTATACCGACGCTTCAGAGATGCCTGGCGGTAAACTTCTACCAGACTAAAAGGCACAACCCAGAAGACAGCCATATTTAGGAAACCAGATTTGAGCTACGCCAAGTCTAAAAATGGGGGCAGGGGGAGGAACAGAGCCATATGATTATCCTTTGGGGTCTCCTGTGGTTACCAGCACGCTTGTGACATAAGCGAAAACATATACTATGTACACTAAAGGCATTACAGTATAGGAATTAAGACTGCACGCTAGAGAGAACTTGAAAATGTTTATAGTATTGACTGAAGATGCTTCCTTATCTGCTACCATTCTCACCCTTTTGATTCTCTTGCTTTTACTTCTAACAAACGTAGAACGCGTAGATTAGCCCCAACTACTGCAAGCCTGTGGATGGAGGAATAAGGGCTGTTTCTGATCTTAAAGAACAAATTATCTCTGTTACTGATAACGGCGTTGCGAAATGCTTCATTTCAGTTACATGGAAAAAATTTGGTTCGTTGATTAATGTTCGACGCTATTAACTACAGACTGCATAACTAACCGATTAACTAATTGGACAATTAACTAGACTAATAGCAACTTAGCTGCTCACTATCTTTCTAAGAAATTATCTAATATTTTATTAACGAGCTGTACAGTTACCTGGCTGAAGAACTATCAAAATATCTAACTAACTAACTAGATGGTTTACCGAACCAAAAGGTTCATCACCGAATTAACTAAAACCCTCCACCGGACCCTGTCCTGGGCCAACAAAATCCAGTCTCATTCAACTCCTATCTCCCATGGATACCGCCTGACATTAACCTCCCATCTACGTCTAGGTCTCCCCAGATGTCTATTTCCCTGAGGCTTCGCGACCAATACCCGGTGCAAACCTCTTGTCCCATCCATGCACGCTACATGCCCCGCCCATCTCATTCATGTTGACCTCATCACCCTGACAACACTGGGGAAGGAGTACAAATTTTTAAGCTCAACATTATGCAGTTTTCTACATGCCCCATCGTCTTCTCTCCTAGGCCAAAATATCCTCAACACCCTATTCTCAAACACCTGCAATCTGTGTTCCTCCCTCTGAGTGAGAGACAGGCAAAATTGTTGTTTTGTATATTTTAATTTTCAGGTTCTTAGAAATCAGACGGGAAGACAAAATATTTTGAACTAAGAAGTAGCAAGCATTTCAGGAATTTAGTCTCCTCCTAACTTCCTCGTGAGTATCATTTTGATTTGTTTTTGTTGCTCCCAAATATTTGAACTTTGTAACACTTTAAGAGGATTTATTAGCCACCCGAAGATAATTCCTACCGCCTGTCTGCTGACAACGAGATACTAACATGTACTTAGTTTTTTTCTTCTGAATTTACTTCTAGACCCACCTGTCTACTAGCTTCTATAGTAAAACGTTTGTGTTCCTCCTTATCGTATTTATATTGTCACCCAGTAAATTAACATCATCAGCATATGCCAATAGCTGATGTGTCCCATTCAATTGCAAACCCTCCTGCCTATCTTGGACTTTCCTGATGGC